ACGATCAAAATTTTTGTCCCACTTATAAAAAGTCATTTGATCTCATTTACCCTAGAAATGGATTTTTTCACGAATTGATGTGTTCGACCACAATATTATCCAGCTATCGAATGCCAAGATCAAGCGATTGAGCAAATGCATGAATTTGTCTAAATTAGGTGAAACGTTCCAATGTCTACATCAGTATAGGTTAGACCGTTTTCAACATAATTCATAGTGCAGAGTGTATAAGGAGGACATTGATTGTTGATGGTATTCATGGAACTATCAAATGCAATCTTTTAAATTCAGGTTAAATGAAAACAGAAACAAATCATAAAATTAGACACAATGCAATCAGCAGAAGTTCACATAAATCTGAAAGATACTAATTTGATCATTAGGCAGATCAGTCTGATTTTTAAGGATTCCCCTAATCAATCTCCTTGAATGTGATCTTGTCGAAAGAGTCTAAATTCCGTCGACTCGGCATCGCTTCGAAGGCAATGAGAGAAACGATGTCAGTTTGCAAGAGGACATTGTATCGACGCTTGGGCTGTTGACATCGATAGAGCTGGACGGAGAAACTGAGCGGCTGCTACTGGCTGACGAGGTCATCGAGTACGATGAGGGAGACGACATCCATGGCCAGTCGGGTCGCTGAGCCAGTCTGCTTGGGTAGAAGTTCATGTTGAAGTCTGAGTTGAAGTTCCATGGCTCATGAGACGGACGCCCGTACGTAGACACTGCTGAAGTCAGATGCAATGGCCACTCCGCGGCCGAAGCTGTCGTCGATTAACTTTTCTTCTGCTCGACCGATCTCTTGGCGCGAACAAACTTTCTTCGCTGACTCCTCATTACTCTCTTGCTAGTAGGCGTTGACGCTGAATTGACGATATCTGATGGGCACAGCGGACAGTTATGGACGTTGCATTTGAAGATGACGCAGGTCGTTTGAGTACGATGTCGAGACCAGATGATGGAAGCAATGGCCTTGCTGAAGTCAGGTTCGTAGGATGTGATGGCGATTGAAGACGGGCTGATAAGATTCGGCCGACTAAGGTAGGAGGGAGGCGAAGCCATAAGCGGATTGTCCATTCGATACCTGCACATAAAAAGAAAGGGAGATAAATAACGATGAGTAATAATGCTGGTCGATAATCAAAATATTTAACTGTGTATAACATATTGGAGCTTTCCGCAAATTAAATAATACTTAATACTGCGTACGAAACAAGATAGTAAAATGTTACAAGTGTATAATATACTTACATTATAAGTGCTGTGGTTTGATCTTGAAGGCTTGAAACAGGTGTAATACTGGAATTCTCTGTGTCTGGAAATATCTCTCGAGAGCAAATAATGAATCAAGTCTTCTCGTGAAGAATGTCCAAAGCTGAACTTACTATTTTAGAATTAACGTCCTGTATTTATTAGCAAAGGAGTAGCCATCTTTCACCCCGTAATTAGCACCGGCACTTTCATATATTGTTTACACGCAATTTGTTGGCTGAAAGTATACTCGTGCGACGCGGCGCAAGTTCAAAGGACGGAGCGGCGTTGGACAAAATCAGAAGAAAAGGAAAATATCATTTCAGAATTTCCAGTTCTCTGACAAAATCATGCAGGAATGTTTGGAGAGCTAAATTTAGAGACTGTGTGGGTTCATTTGAGGGGGGGGGGGGGGGTAATGAATCAAAAAAGCGTGTAAGTCCATATCACCGTTTGGGGGAGAGGGGTCTATTAAAATAACAATGGTCGCAGAATTCAGATATTAGTCCATATCACAAATTTGATACTAATATACCGATTTTAGAAGTTCTACAAAATAAATTCTATTTCACATTATGTTTGAAACTGCAGTCGTTCTCGTCAATGGATTTGGTTAAAACTGATTTGATTAGAATATAATGTTTCTGATCATGTTGACCAAAGTTGTCCCATTTCCTGCAGGCGAAGGGGAGCTAGCTCAGATGGTAGAGCGCTCGCTTAGCATGCGAGAGGTACCGGGATCGATGCCCGGGTTCTCCAAAATGTGATCTGTTTTGTGCAATTCCGGATATGTTATCCATATTAGCTATGAATATTTCATATAAGATAGTTCAAACTCTCTTCAAAAGCATGTCAGAATGTAAATTTTTACAGTATAAATAAGAGCTTGATACCACACATAATTATGACACAGATACTTGTTTTCTGGTTGATCTCGCTCAAAAAATATCAACCGTAATTCTGGCTTTACTTTTGGCCCTTTTAAGTTTTTTCTTCCACTATGAAGAACAAAATAAAAACAAGAGAGAGAGAGAGAGAGAGAGAAGAAAAGAACATGGCTACGATCTTCTAGACTTTAAAAATATAATATACAAGATCTATAGAGTAATTCACGGCGTTTTAAAAATAATTCGAGTTGATTGTCGTTACGATCAAACTTTGCTCCAGTTCTCAAAAGTTTGCCCATCTTATTATAGAAAGTCATTTGATCTCACGTTAGCTAGAAATGGATGTTTTCACGAATTGATTTATTAGCAAAGGAGTAGCCATCTGCCACCCCGTTAATGGCACCGGCACTTTCATCTATTGTTTACACGCTTTTGTTTTATCGGCTCGGACGCTCGCTTCTGATTGGATGAAAGTATACTCGTGCGACGCGGCGCAAGTTCAAAGGATTGGAGCGGCGTTGGACAAAATCAAAAGAAAGGGAAAATATTTTAGAATTTCCAGTTCTCTGACAACATGTTTATGTGGGGATGGGGGGGGGGGGGGGTAATGAATAACAAGAGCGTGTAAGTCCATTTCATCGTTGTTGTTGTGTTGTGTTTTTTTGTTTTTTTTTTTGGGGGGGGGGCTATTAGAATAATTACGGTAGCAGAATTCAGATATTGGACCATATCACGAATTTGATACTAATATACCGATTTTACAATTTCTACCAACTTAGTTCTATTTCACATATGTTTGAAACTGCAGTCGTTCTCATCAATAGATTTGGTTAAAACTGATTTGATTAGAATATAATTTTTCTGATCAACTTGACCAAAGTTGTCCCTTCTCATGCAGACGAAGGGGAGCTAGCTCAGATGGTAGAGCGCTCGCTTAGCATGCGAGAGGTACCGGGATCGATGCCCGAGTTCTCCACAATGTGATCTGTTTTGTGCAATTCCGGATTTGTTATCCATATTTTCTAGGTCATTATGAGTATTTCGTCGAAATTATTTCATACTCTTTTCAAAACCACGTCAGAATCTAATTTTTTCACTATAAATAGGACCTTGATACCACATACGTGACACCGATACTTGTATTTTGGTCGCTCTAGGTCACCAATCTTACAACCGCTATTCTTGATTTATTTTTGGCCCTTCGTAGTTGCTTTTCTTCCACTACAAAAAAAAATAAAAATAAAGAGAGAGAGTAAAAAAAAAACATGGCTACGATCTTTTAGAATTTTATAACATTTAATATACAAGATCTAAAGGAAAATGCATGGCGTTTTGAAAAATAATTCGAGTTTGATTGTCGTTACGATCAAACTTTGCTCCAGTTCTTAAAAGTTTGCCCCACTTATGGAAAGTCATTTGATATCATTTACTCTAGAAATCCATTTGTCTCCCCGTAATTAGCACCGGCACTTTCATCTATTGTTTAGGCGCTTTTGTTTTGTCGGCTAGGACGTTCGCTTCTGATTGGCTGAAAGTATACTCGTGCGACGCGGCGCAAGTTCAAAGGACTGGAGCGGTGTTGTACAAAATCAAAAAGAAAGGGAAAATATCATTTTATAATTTCCAGTTCTCTGACAAAGTCACGCAGGACTGTTAGGAGAGCTAAACTGAAAGACTGTGTTTTTGTGGGGGTTGGGGGAGGGGGGGGGGGGGTGATGAATAAAAGAAAAGCATGTAAGTCCACTTCATCGTTTGTGGGGGGGGGGAGGAATATTAGAATAACAACGGTCGAAGAATTCAGATATTGGTCCATATCACAAATTTGGTACTAATATACCGATTTTAAAAGTTCTACCAACTCGGTTCTATTTCACATATGTTTGAAACTTCAGTCGTTCTCTTCAATGGATTTAGTTAATATTGATTTGATTAGAATATATTTTTATCTGATCAATTTGACCAAAGTTGTCCCAGTTCATGCAGGCGAAGGGGAGCTAGCTCAGATGGTAGAGCGCTCGTTTAGCATGCGAGAGGTACCGGGATCGATGCCCGGGTTCTCCATAATGTGATCTGTTTTGTGCAATTCCGGATTTTGTTATCCATATTTTCTAGGTCATTATGAGTATTTCGTCGAAACTATTTCATACTCTATGAATAAGAGCTTGATACCACACATATTCGGGTTGCTATAGGTCAGAAACTTTCAACCGCAATTCTCAATATCTTTTTTTTTGCCCTTCTAAGTCTCTTTTCTTCCACTACAAAGAAAAGAGAGAGAGAGAGAGGGAGAAGGAAAAAAAAAAACATGTTACGATCTTTTAGACTTGTTTAACATTTAATTTACAAGATATATAGAGTAATGTATGGCGTTTTGAAAAATAATTCGAGTTTGATTGTCGTTATGATGAATCTTTGCTCCAGTTCTCGAAAGTTTGCCCCACTTATAGAAAGTCATTTGATCTCACCTACCCTAGAAATGGATGTTTTCACAAATTGTTGTGTTGGACCAACTATCGAATGCCAAGATCAATTGATTGAGCAAATGCATGAATTTTTCTAACTTGGGTGAAACTTTCGATGTATACATCAGTAAAGGATAGAATGCTTTTAACGTCATTTATAATGCAGAGTATAACGAGGACATTGATTTTTGATGGTATACATGGAACTATCAAATGTATTCTTCTCAATTCAGGTTTAATAAAAACAAAAACAAATCATAAACTTCGACACAATGCAATCAGCAGATGTTCACATAAATATGATGATACTTATGTAAGGGGGGTGGTAGATTGTGACGGGTAGCCGGAATGAGTGGGGGTAGACCTCGGACAATACAGATGACAATGGCAGCCTGAGGAGTAGAGTTGGTGCTCTTTATTCTGTAAAGGACACACCGCTATAAGCGGGGTGGGAACGGGGTCAAGTAATGATAAACAGTTATCAATTACAAGAATAAACAACGACACATCTTTCAGCATTATGACAACAAAAGGTAAACAGTGTGCACTACACTAAAACATTTGAATCGTTAATAACAATAACTTTAACTTATTTAAGACAATGCAAATGCCCAAAGTGTATAAGCTGGATCAAATACAAATTCCTAACATAATTAATCAAACTTAAAAGATCATAATTCTTCGTTAATCAGGTTTCTCTACACCAAAACCTAACACATAGTCATTAGCGCCCAAGTTCCCGACTACAATAGTCACACTCCAAGGCCCAATTGACCGTACACACAAATGGATTCTACACGTACCCGTACAGGCATAGCCTACGCATCCATTTCCTCTACGTGTAATCTACTTGTACATTGAGAAGTCACACCCTCTGAGCATTACGTAACAACAATATCGCCTTAAATTACACCTTTCTGTTAACAAATATCATGTTCTTTGAACATATTTTTAAGCCTTATAATAATACTAATTCGTTTAAACCAGGATATGAACAAAACATAGTAACAATATTATCAAATATAACAATTTAAACACACATAAAAACTAAGCCTTGCTTACCTATAAGCGGGGTGGGAACGGGGTGAAGGTCACGGTTCTAAAGCCCGCCACCAACGACCTCCTTACACTTATTTGATTATTATGCAGATCAGTCTGATATTTGAAAATTCCCCTCATCAATATCCTTGAATGTGATCTTGTCGAAAGAGTCTAAATCTCGTCGACTCGGCGTCGCTTCGAAGGCGATGAGAGAAACGATGTCAGTTTGCAAGAGGAAATTGTATCGACGCTTCGGCTGTTGACATCGACAGAGCTGGCAGGAGAAACTGAGCGGCTACTACTGGGTGATGTGGTCAGAGAGTACGATGAGGGAGACGACATCCATGGCCAGTCGGGTCGCTGCACCAGTCTGTTTGGGTAGAAGTTCATGTTAAGATCTGAGTTGAAGTTCCATGGCTCATGAGACGGACGCCTGTACGGAGCCGTTGCTGAAGTCAGATGCAATGGCCAGTCCGCGGCCGAAGCTGTCGTCGATTTACTTTTCTTCTGCTCGACCGATCTCTTGGCGAGAACAAACTTTCTTCGCTGACTCCTCGTTACTCTCTTGCTAGATGGCGTTGACGTTGAGTTGACGATATCTGATGGGCACAGCGGACAGTTATTGACGTTGCATTTGAAGATGACGCAGGTCGTTTGAGTACGATGTCGAGACCAGATGATGGAAGCAATGGCCTTGCTGAAGTCAGGTTCGTAGGATGTGATGGCGATTGAAGACGGGCTGATAAGATTTGGCCGACTAAGGTAGGAGGGAGGCGAAGCCATAAGCGGATTGTCCATTCGATACCTGCACATAAAGAAAAATGGAGATAAATAACGATTAGTAATAATGCTGGTCGATAATCAAAATATTTAACTGTGTAGAACATTTTGGAGCTTTCGCAAATCAAATGATACTTAATACTGCGTACGAAACAAGATAGTAAAATGTTACAAGTGTATAATATACTTACATTATAAGTGCTGTGGTTTGATCTTGAAGGCCGGAAACAGGTGTAATTCTGGAATTCTGTGTATCTGGAAATATCTCTCGGGAGCAAATAATAAATCAAGTCTTCTCGTGAAGAATGTCCAAAGCTGAACTTACTATTTTAGAATTAAAGTCCTGTATTTATTAGCAAAGGAGTAGCCATCTGCCACCCCGTAAATGGCACCGGCACTTTCATCTATTGTTTACACGCTTTTGTTTTGTCGGCTCGGACGCTCGCTTCTGATTTGCTGAAAGTACAACCGCGCGACGCGGCGTAAGTTCAAAGGACTGGAGGGGCGTTGTACAAACTCAAAAAGGAAGGGAAAATATAATTTTAGAATTTCTCTGAAAACATGTTCTCTGAAAACATGTTTATGTGGGGATGGGTAATGAATAACAAGAGCGTGTAAGTCCATTCCATCGTTGTTGTTGTGTTGTGTTTTTTTTTTGGGGGGGGGGGGGCTATTAGAATAATTACGGTAGCAGAATTCAGATATTGGACCATATCACGAATTTGATACTAATATACCGATTTTACAAGTTCTACCAACTTAGTTCTATTTCACATATGTTTGAAACTGCAGTCGTTCTCATCAATAGATTTGGTTAAAACTGACTTGCCCAAAGGTGTCCCATATCATGCAGGCGAAAGGGAGCTAGCTCAGATGGTAGAGCGCTCGCTTAGCATGCGAGAGGTACCGGGATCGATGCCCGGGTTTTCCATAATGTGATCTGTCCTGTGCAATTCCGGATTTGTTATCCATATTTTCTAGGTCATTATGAGTATTTCGTCTAAACTATTTCATACTCTTTTCAAAACCACGTCAGAATCTAATTTTTTTTCCACTATAAATAGGACCTTGATACCACATACATGACACCGATACTTGTATTTTGGTCGCTCTAGGTCACCAATCTTACAACCGTTATTCTTGATTCATTTTTGGCCCTTCGTAGTTGCTTTTCTTCCACTACAAAAAAAAATAAAAATAAAGAGAGAGAGTAAAAAAAAAAACATGGCTACAATCTTTTAGAATTTTATAACATTTAATATACAAGATCTAAAGGAAAATGCATGGCGTTTTGAAAAATAATTCGAGTTTGATTGTCGTTACGATCAAACTTTGCTCCAGTTCTTAAAAGTTTGCACCACTTATGGAAAGTCATTTGATATCATTTACTCTAGAAATCCATTTGTCTCCCCGTAATTAGCACCGGCACTTTCATCTATTGTTTAGGCGCTTTTGTTTTGTCGGCTCGGACGCTCGCTTCTGATTGGCTGAAAGTATACTCGTGCGACGCGGCGCAAGTTCAAAGGACTGGAGCGGCGTTAGACATATAAAAAGAAAAGGAAAATATCATTTTAGAATTTCCAGTTCTCTGACAAAGTCACGCAGGACTGTTAGGAGAGCTAAACTGAAAGACTGTATTTTTGTGGGGGTTTGGGGAGGGGGGGGGGGGTGATGAATAAAAAAAAAAGCATGTAAGTCCATTTCATCGTTTGTGGGGGGGGGGGAGGAATATTAGAATAACAACGGTTGCAGAATTCAGATCTTGGACCATATCACGAATTTGGTACTAATATACCGATTTTACAAGTTCTACCAACTCAGTTCTATTTCACATAGGTTTGAAACTGCAGTCGTTCTCATCAAAATATTTGGTTTAAACTGATTTGATTAGAATATAATGTTTCTGATCAACTTGCCCAAATTTGTCCCATTCTATGCAGGCGAAGGGGAGCTAGCTCAGATGGTAGAGCGCTCGCTTAGCATGCGAGAGGTACAGGGATCGATGCCCGGGTTCTCCATAATGTGATCTGTTTTGTGCAATTCCGGATTTGTTATTCATATTATCACGGTCATTATGAGTATTTCGTCTAAACTATTTCATACTCTCGTCAAAAGCACGTCAGAATCTAATATACTTTTCCAATAAATAAGAGCTTGATACCACACTTATGAATAAGATACTTGTATTCTGGTTGCTCTCGGTCAAAAACTTTCAACTGTAATTCTTGATTTATTTTTGGCCCTTCGAGATTGCTTTTATTCCACTATGAAGAAAAAAAATGTTGAAGAAAGAGAAAGAGAGAGAGAGAGAATAAAAAAAAAACATGGCTACGATCTTCTAGACTTTGATAACATTAAATATACAAGATCTATAGAGTAATGCATGGCGTTTTGAAAAATAATTCGAGTTTAATTATCGTTACGATCAAACTTTTGTCCCACTTATAAAAAGTCATTTGATCTCATTTACCCTAGAAATGGATTTTTTCACGAATTGATGTGTTCGACCACATTATTATCAAGCTATCGAATGCCAAGATCAAGCGATTGAGCAAATGCATGAATTTGTCTAAATTAGGTGAAACGTTCCAATGTCTACATCAGTATAGGTTAGACTGTTTTCAACATAATTCATAGTGCAGAGTATAAGGAGGACATTGATTGTTGATGGTATTCATGGAACTATCAAATGCAATCTTTTAAATTCAGGTTAAATGAAAACAGAAACAAATCATAAAATTAGACACAATGCAATCAGCAGAAGTTCACATAAATCTGAAAGATACTAATTTGATCATTAGGCAGATCAGTCTGATTTTTAAAGATTCCCCTCATCAATCTCCTTGAATGTGATCTTGTCAAAAGAGTCTAAATTCCGTCGACTCGGCATCGCTTCGAAGGCAATGAGAGAAACGATGTCAGTTTGCAAGATGACATTGTATCGACGCTTGGGCTGTTGACATCGATAGAGCTGGACGGAGAAACTGAGCGGCTGCTACTGGCTGACGAGGTCATCGAGTACGATGAGGGAGACGACATCCATGGCCAGTCGGGTCGCTGAGCCAGTCTGCTTGGGTAGAAGTTCATGTTGAAGTCTGAGTTGAAGTTCCATGGCTCATGAGACGGACGCCCGTACGTAGACACTGCTGAAGTCAGATGCAATGGCCACTCCGCGGCCGAAGCTGTCGTCGATTAACTTTTCTTCTGCTCGACCGATCTCTTGGCGCGAACAAACTTTCTTCGCTGACTCCTCATTACTCTCTTGCTAGTAGGCGTTGACGCTGAATTGACGATATCTGATGGGCACAGCGGACAGTTATGGACGTTGCATTTGAAGATGACGCAGGTCGTTTGAGTACGATGTCGAGACCAGATGATGGAAGCAATGGCCTTGCTGAAGTCAGGTTCGTTGGATGTGATGGCGATTGAAGACGGGCTGATAAGATTCGGCCGACTAAGGTAGGAGGGAGGCGAAGCCATAAGCGGATTGTCCATTCGATACCTGCACATAAAAAGAAAGGGAGATAAATAACGATGAGTAATAATGCTGGTCGATAATCAAAATATTTAACTGTGTATAACATATTAGAGCTTTCCGCAAATTAAATAATACTTAATACTGCGTACGAAACAAGATAGTAAAATGTGACAAGTGTATAATATACACTGTTGGTCATAATGGTGGAATATTTATTTTTACCCCAGTTTAGGGAAGGATTTTAAAAAATTATTTATTTCTAATAAATCTAGATAATGGCATACATTCTCAGATTTTATTGGATATTAATTTGCGAGTGTTTGTTTTGCGTGACTGCTTAATCATATGTGTGCTACTATGCTAATCAGCTAAGGGACCTACGTCCTTAAGTCATAATTGACAGTAATGAGGATTAATGCCTCACAAAAGGGCACTAATATATAGCTGATCGACACGATTTTTATCCTGGGGCCTCGCAGTAACGAGGCCATTACTTAGCCCCTGAATCATGACTGTGCGCAGTGTTTGCTAGGGTACGCGGCCCCTTCCACAAATCCCCCAAAACGAAGAAAATGCAATAAATTGTCAAAAATTCATTACATTTTTCCCCGGCCCCCAACAGGAAAAATTCCTCTGTAGGGCCATGAATTATGGTTCAAGGCATGGCCACACAGAGGAATTTTTCCTGTTGGGGGCCGGGGGAAAATGCAATGAATTTTTGACAATTTATTGCATTTTCTTCGTTTTGGGGGATTTGTGGGGGCGGCCGCGTACCCTAGCAAACACTGCGTACAGTCATGATTCAGGGGCTAAGCAATGGCCTCGTTACTGTGAGGCCCCAGGATAAAAATCGTGTCGATCAGCTATATAAGTGCCCTTTTGTGAAGCATTAATCCTCATTACTGTCAATTATGAGACAAGGACGTAGGTTCCCTAGCTGATTAGCATAGTAACACAAATATGATTTAGCAGTCACGCAAAACAAACACTCGCAAATTAATATTCAATAAAATCTGGGAATGTATGCCATTATCTAGATCTATTAGAAATAAATAATTTTTTAAAATCCCTCCCTAAACTGGGGTAAAAATAAATATTCCACCATTATGACCAACAGTGTACTTACATTATAAGTGCTGTGGTTTGATCTTGAAGGCTTGAAACAGGTGTAATACTGGAATTCTCTGTGTCTGGAAATATCTCTCGAGAGCAAATAATGAATCAAGTCTTCTCGTGAAGAATGTCCAAAGCTGAACTTACTATTTTAGAATTAACGTCCTGTATTTATTAGCAAAGGAGTAGCCATCTTTCACCCCGTAATTAGCACCGGCACTTTCATATATTGTTTACACGCAATTTGTTGGCTGAAAGTATACTCGTGCGACGCGGCGCAAGTTCAAAGGACGGAGCGGCGTTGGACAAAATCAAAAGAAAAGGAAAATATAATTTCAGAATTTCCAGTTCTCTGACAAAATCATGCAGGACTGTGTGTAGAGCTAAATTTAGAGACTGTGTGGGTTCATTTGAGGGGGGGGGGGTAATGAATCAAAAGAGCGTGTAAGTCCATATCACCGTTTGGGGGAGAGGGGTCTATTAAAATAACAATGGTCGCAGAATTCAGATATTAGTCCATATCACAAATTTGATACTAATATACCGATTTTACAAGTTCTACAAAATAAATTCTATTTCACATTATGTTTGAAACTGCAGTCGTTCTCGTCAATGGATTTGGTTAAAACTGATTTGATTAGAATATAATGTTTCTGATCATGTTGACCAAAGTTGTCCCATTTCCTGCAGGCGAAGGGGAGCTAGCTCAGATGGTAGAGCGCTCGCTTAGCATGCGAGAGGTGCCGGGATCGATGCCCGGGTTCTCCAAAATGTGATCTGTTTTGTGCAATTCCGGATATGTTATCCATATTAGTTATGAATATTTCATATAAGATAGTTC